TCTGGTCAGTTGTATGAGGAATAGCGTGCCGAGCGGTCGCAAAACGCGCACGAGTATTAACAAAAAGCCAGAAAAAAAAAGACATAAACACCAAAGTGATTTCCCCCAAAAGATCTAGATAAAAATATACTATATAACGGACACAAACAAACAAAGGAATTCTTCAAGTATCTGACGCCAAAGATCGCACTGAAGTTCATAATTTATAATTGCCCCAAGCCGTTTAATTGTATTTAATTAATTTTCAAAAAAATGAGTGACCTACAGCATATTACACTGCAAATGGATAAGCTGCCGCTGGAAGATGATAAAACTTTGACGAGAAATCAAGTGAGTTTAAGCTTAATAATCATTAAACTGCGGGAAGGCTGAACAAATGTACAGAACCGGTGACTTTGTTTACTTTGCTGATAGGTTGTTTAAGTGTCTACGAAAAATTATAGTTTCGCATTGCTTGTTAATTTTTGTGTAAACAGACGAGAAGCTTCCCTCAGATAGCACCTAAATTTTTTTGGGAAAAGTGACAGCAGAAACGTAAAAAACCCATGACTTAGTCATAGAAATAGACCCCCTGGACCACTAAATAGACTTTTTTGATTTATTTTTTATTGCAATCTGTGCAAGATCAATGAAATTATATTATTTATCTCATAATAAACATTAAAATTCGGTGATGTTAACAAATGTCATAAACCAGTTATATGTTTTCTGTGCTTTTAGATCTTTTTAATATAAAAAACGTACAAGCTGGTAATCGTTGTGTAAAGCGAAGAAAAACTTCCCCAGTTGGTACACTAATTTTTTTGGCAAAATTAAGTCGGAAAAATCACACGACCAGGGGGATCTATTTAAATGACTCATTTATCAATCATTCAGATTTCATAAATCTTTTGAAATGGTGTTTTTTTCTTTATAGTCATAATAAAATATTATTTCACGCTCGAAACTTGTGTTTCAAATCAAATTTAATAAAAGATTAATACATTATTAAATTAGAAACTATTTTGTATTTATTTTGTATAACAATGTTTATTATTAGCTTTTAACAAAACTTCTTTAAAATATTATTTGCGGAAAAAACGGTTTGATAGGTTTTTATTATTTTTTTGTAAACAAAGACTTGTAGTTATAATTTTAATTGCTATAATTATTAATTGAGACTTTTAATAACTGAATAATTATTCAGTTATCAGCTGGATTTGCCATGCATTTTTGTCCCTGAACCTTATCATTTGAATTTTTAAAGCTATTGAAAATTCTTTAATGTATGCCTATATACAGATAAGAAATTATAGTACCCACTTAACATATAGTTGCATTAATTTGCGTTTGCATATTTATCAGCGCTGAAAACAATGCATTTTTCAAGCCAACTTGTTAATATTCCGGAAACGTTGTTATTGAAATTTTACAGGAAAATATCAACAATCACAGCAACGGCGATGCAATCGACAGACGTAACAATGCACGAGTGCCCAGAGCAGGTTCGTATCCCAACATACTCGTTTATCTCTGAAAAACTAGATTCATTTTTTGTGCTTGTCTGTCTATATGTTAATCGATTTTGTGACTAATGCTGCTTTAAACCACAATCTTTAAACAATTTATGTAAACCACATTAATGTGTAAGTAGTGTAAGCGAGTGGAAAACAATTTATACTGACTATTTTATTTTTCTGGCTTTTGACAGTGCCCGAAACGGATGACGATGACAACGATGATCGTCCCTTTGTTAAAGATGGGAGTGGTAATCCCGGCGTGGACGATGGTCTTCTCGGCGGCGGTGGCGGTGGCGGAGGAGGAGTCAATGTTCTCGTACCCAATGGAGGCAGACGACCCAGTTTCTCCTTTCCGGGCTATAATGGACCCGGTTTTGTGACGATCAACGGAGTGGAAACACCAATACCCGATGTGAATGCATATCAGCACAAGAAAACCCTGGCCCAGGGAATGATGGATTTGGCATTACTCTCGGCCAATGCAAATCAGTTGCGTTACGTGCTGGAAACCAACACTCAACATCCTTACTTTTATCCCAGTTTACTGTTCATCTCACTGAGCATTATATTCCAGGTAAATTGCGTATACCCAATCATTAATTTCTATATTATCAAAGTTTTGGTTGTCCGAGTTTGTTTATAATTGGAAGGTTATTTATATGTATATCCATAATTTTAAAGTTATTTATATTATATTCCTCTTTATTTTAGATCGCTGTCGGCGTGGGCCTTATTTGGAATGGCCGGTACAACATTAAGAATGAGCAAGAGATCTGCCGGGCGAACAAGATCAACAATTACACAGTCATCGGCATCTTTATTGTGACGGTGGTCAATGTCCTTATATCAGCGTTTGGCGTTGCAGAACGAGCCCCTGTGCCTGCCAATACCATCTAGTTCCAGGATAAATTTAAATTAGCATGTAGATTTGTAAGCACAATCGCATCCTTAGATAAAATTCACAGCAGGTCGGAAGTTATTGAAATTCACAAAGCGCCTCATTTCTCTATGTTTAAAAAATCAATTGTGATAAATAAATAAAATCCCACGAGCATTTTACACTTTATTGGAAATTAATAAAATGTTATTATAATTATTTTTAGGAAATTTTGTATGGATAAATATGTTGTATATTTATTTTTGGGCTTTGAAAGGAAACTTTAACTTTGGCGATGGCTAAAAAATAATTAATAAATATATAACAGTTAATATATTATTAAAACTTAATGGTATCATTTTAATATTTTTGTAAAATTATTCAAACAAATTTAAATATAATCGTGTTTTAGCTTTTTGAATTTATTTACCGCCAAACTATCGATAAACTGCCCCACTAAAATTGACCAACACTGCAAAGTACCTTTGATATTTTACAGCACCAGGCAACAGCTGTTTTTCATTGACTACAAAAAAAAATCGTGCGGAAAATTAAGCATTTTCGGCTAAAAGTCTATTCCAAATATGGCCAAGATTATTAAGGCGGTAAGTTTGCGAGGAATACGATAAAACACAAGTCTGGATACTAGAGGTGTAGCGTTTTGAACCGCCGAAACTCAAGCCGATCCTCCAATTGTTATGGTTATGTCATCGCTTCCTTCTGCAGTCCACAGGTTTAACCGGACTCGCCGTGTCCTCCAATCCTCACCATACACTGAGTGCCCTTTACGGAAAGATCCTGGGGGCGGTGTCCAAGATGCCACAGGATGCCAGCTACCGAAAGTACACGGAGCAATTGGTCAAACAACGCGCCGATGCAGTGGCCCAAGTAAGATTATATTGCACGGGAATAACATCCTAACAATTCAATAAATGTTCATATTTATTGTCTCAATCCTTGGTAGAAACTCTAGAATGAATCCTTGTAAAATTTCATATGGAAATTCCTATCCTTTTTTAGGATTGTTCGTTGATAAAGTCTTGCTTCTATAAAATTTTTCTTTAATAAAACATTAGTTACCAATTTCCATTACTTAATTGCTCTATAAAATCATATTTAATATTAATTCGCTCTATAGTTTTGAAAGATTCTCTTCTAAATGTCATCTCAAAATGAGATCCTTTGGTAGGGTCTTATTTCTTTTAAGTAAGAAATTATTATTGATGGTCAGATAAATTATATCCAAAATGTGACTTACATAAAATTTGTAAAAATATATTTTATCGTTAAATCGAACACAATTAGCTATTAAAATTAAAAAATATATTTATCCCCCAGAACAAAGACATCGTTGCCCTGGAGAAGGCCGTTGGCTGTGGTCAGGTGGAGGAGCTGATTGTCCAGGCCGAGAACGAGTTGGTGCTGGCCCGCAAAATGCTCGGCTGGAAGCCCTGGGAGAAGTTGGTCCAAACCGCACCTGCCAAGCAGTGGGACTGGCCGCCCGCCCAGATCCTGGAGCCCAAAGTTTAGGCTCAAGCCTCAAGCTTTACACATAGAACTAATTATTCTACAGCGAATGGGAAATGAGATGAGAGCAATAAAGGCGTTGATAAGCTGGTAGCATTATCAACAAACAAAATTCTAGAGCTTCGATCTGTGATCTTTGGGTGTGTTCCGGTTTATGTGTTCACAAGGTTTTTTTTTTACTAAAAACTTTGAGACTATAATCTTAAAATTTTAAACTTAGGTCTTTTTGTTTGTTAAGGATACATTTTTGTTTTAAAAAAGGAATTAAAGTAAGTATTCCAGATCTTTAAAAAAGGGGTTATAAGTAATTTTTTTTTTTTAAATAGGACTTGAGATAAATTCAAATAGTTTGTGTTTAACGTTGACAACACAAAATTAAATTTAAAAACAGTTAAGCCGCTGAGGATAAGGCTCGAAAAAGTAAATTAAAGTAATTTTGAAATATTTCATTTACGATGACCACAAATATGTTGATTCTCCCTTTAAATCAATAAAATCTGGAACAACCCCCAACCAGTTCTCCCTTCAATATTCCAACCAGATTATTATGATCCATTGACGATCTCAGTTTGCTTTCAAGATGCGTGCTCTTCAGTTCCTCCTACTGCTGCTCGCGATTTCCTGCGGTTTTGTGGCATCGCTTCCCCGCCAGCGACGCCAGATTGATCTCACGGTTTCGGCGGAGCACGACGACAAGGATGATGAGACGGAACTGGCACTGGAGGCCATCGCCGGACTCTGGAGCAGTGCAGACAGTCGGACGAAGATCGATGGATCCGCCAGCCTGGTGCATCGCACCCAGGGAATGCAATCGGGTATGGGGAGCACCAAATACCAGGCACGCTTGCATGTCCATCATGACTATAAGACCAATGCGTATCCCTCGTAATAATCCAAGGTTCGGAGCAGGACTTTCGTCTGGGAGTACGCATTACGTTCGAGTGATAGAGACGGAAGTTCCAGACATCTGAAGCCGGGGGAAAATCGAGCGATTGCGTGTGGAAACCAAATACTGTATAAACAATCCCACTGCCGATAACATTTTGACCTTCGCAGCTCCGTATATTGTAGAATATGTAATTGAACCTTGGTGAAAATACAATATACCCGCAAACTGTTTGCTTTATTGATTCCATTTTAATTGCCTTCCCCGGTTTTTTTTTTTCAACCAACCGTGAAGCGGCGCAACAACTTTCAGCTTAAAGTAACAACTACAACAACGAATTTGCACAACAGTGAGGTGGACAGGAGGAGATTAATAAATACAAGCCATTCCTTAAGTATAAATGCCATTAGTCAACGTGGTTTTAGGGTGGGTGTTTTCGGAATCGCTGGCACGAAAAGTAATCTATGGCACGTTTTCATTGCAAATAATAGGTCAAGTTTGCACCTCTAATTGGGTTAACTTTGGCGGTCTTTAATAAAAATGTTTAACTTTACTCGAAATTGTGGATCCACTTTTTTTTGAAATGTTCCTCTTCTGACAAAAAAATTCTTTACTTTTTCCAACAATTATTAAAAAATCTACTACAGCAAAGAACTGAACTAGCAAAAAATCGAATTTAATGTTTTAAAAGAATATAACAACTAAAACAATGCTTTAGTCTAATTTATATTAAATTGCTTACTGTGAAAATAGTTAGTACATATTTTATCCAAATAAAACTTGTTTTCTGTTATTAAAAAAATAATAAATCTAAAATACCTATCTTTACTCTGAATAAAAAGGTATTATAGTAAAGGAAAATGAATATGCGAAGAAAAGGAAATTACTGACACTATAATTCTTAAGCTTTTGGAGTTTTAACTAAATATTAACCATCCTAACAGAATCTTATTTTCCTTTAATTTTAAGAAATACATTTAAATACCAGGCCTATGCCTTCCAATGAAAAATAAACTTCATGGATTACTTTTCTTACCATCGAATCGTGCTCTAATAAAATAACTATTTACTCCACCCTACTGAGGTTAATATCATTGCACACTGGTTCTTACAGTCCTTTCACTTAATTCAAGCTGATGGGCACTCCTTGGATCTCCTGCTGCTTGAGTTCCTGGACCACAAAGTTTCGGAACTCCTCGTAGGCCACATCGATGTCCACGTTGTTGATAATCTTGTGGAAATTACCGGGCGTCAGACCATAATCCAGTTCCACTTGGGCAGCATTTAGGCGTTTTTTCAGCGACTCCTCCGTTTCGGAACCGCGTAGACGTAGCCGTCGTTCCAGTTCTTGGATACTCGGGGGATTGTTAAAGATCAGGATGGGATTGAGGTCCGTGCGGCGTATCTGCTCCACACCCTTCTGTTCGATGTCCAGGATGCAGACCCTTCCCTGTGCCTGGATTTCCCGCACCGCCGCCTTGCTGGTGCCGTACATGTTGCCCGTAAACTCGGCCGTCTCGATGAACTCGTCGCCGGCGATGGCCGCCTCCATTTCGGGGCGTTCCACGAAATAGTAGTGGACACCATGTTCCTCACCTTCCCGTGGCTTTCGCGTGGTATGGGATATGCTGAAACCGAAGGTGTTGGGAAATTCGGCGAACAGACGCTTCAGGAGCGTACTCTTTCCAGATCCCGAGGGGCCGCAGAGGACGAGGGGGCGTGGTCCCGGGGCGGACATCTTCTTGCTCGATACGGAGGTCAGCGCGCTGCTGCTGAGAGCGCGATTTACAATGAACAGAAAGCTTATCATCGCGTGGCCTTTTATTCTTATAGCACCAGTGCAACAACAACGACACCGCTAATGGGGCCCAAAAAAAAAAAGCTGGTTCTTTTTTGTATTTGGCTAAATTAAGAGAAGCGTGCTATTGCAAATGTGTGTGTGTGTGATTGTGTGGGTGCCAGTGCGGGCCAGCGATGGACTAATTTCGATATTTATCGATTGCGCGATTAGAACGATAATTTTGTACAATCTTTATGGTCACCCCAATTTTCAATTTTAAACTGAAAAATGAAACAATTAAAAAAAATGTAAAATAATTAAATTAAATTGCAAAACTATTTTAGTTTGATTGAATTTTAAAACCTTTCTTTAAATCCAAATATTATCTTTATTTTATCAAAAATCAATTTAATTTGGAAAAGAAAAAGTAATGAAAGCAATCTAACGCTGATTAAAGAGTAGTTAAAACTTTGAAGTTCTACTATTTAAAGATTTTAAGTTAGAAGTAAATAATATAACATTGTAGTTAAAACAAAAAACCATCTTAAAATTGTTATCTTAATAATGTATCAAGAAAAATAATATATAAAGTAACTCCCAAAATTACAACCAATTAAAACTAAACGATTTTGGTTTAAAAACTGTTATATTCTTATACTGTTTTACATTTAGCATAGAATTTCAAACACACATACACACTGAAACGGATGCCGAATGAATTACAATGCATTTTTAGTTATTTTTGTGTTTTTTTTTTTTAGCTTAAATTAATTATGAATTTCTCATCTGCTTGTTTCCATTTAATTGTTTCCATTTTATTCTCATTTTCTTACGTTTTTTGTAATTTCATATTTTGATCACATTTTGATTTCGCATGCCCAAAGTGAATTTGGTTTGTTTCCGAATGATTCGCCTGAATGTAAACCTACAACTGCCGTCGTCCGATAAATCAAAAATATATATGTTTACTTCGTATGTTTAGGGATTTATGCAAGCCTCTGCTTCTGTCTAGAATCCTACTACTCTGTGTATATGCTAATATTCAGTCAATATTATTATATTCATGTCCGCTCAGCTCATCTTCACCCGTTTGGGAAGAGCTCGCTTTCAATGGAGAATCGAAAACCTGAAGATCTTTTCTGTTCTAATGGGAAGAGTGAGTATATAAATTTCGGTTTACCGAAGATGAATACCTCATCTGTTATATATGTATGTACAAATTATTATACGGTCTTTAGTTTTTTAGTTTTCGATGTATTTTATTTGCATTTGAATTGGAACAAAATCAAACAGTCCTACTAAGAGACGATCGTGATATTATATGGTTGCTGGATCCCTTACGGTCTCAACTAAATAACAGTACTAACTTCGTATCGGAGCTGTAACATGGATAAGGCATGTGGAGGATTTGATATCGGAAATGATTATGGTGTGTGTGTGTGTGTGAGCGATGAAACGTGGTTTATGTTGTGTGGCTGGCTGGCAATGCAAGAACTTTTGTGTGTGTAATTGTTTTCTGTAATTTATTATACCCTAAAAATTTGTTTACAACTAATACTATGCATATGCTTAAAATTGATTAAAAAATATAATTATTATATTTATAGATTTATTCACGATGCTACAAACTAAACGAATTGTACGACAAAATTGTTTAATAAGACCGAAAAATGGAGCGCTCTTCTTATCGATAAGGGTGGTGCTGTTTACCAATCCAATATTTGAGACTCCCAAAAAAGGTTAACAATTACAAAAAGTTGTGGCGTGGGAGTGGGTGTGGTATTGAATGTGGTGTGTGTGTGTGTGTGTGTGTGTGTGTGTGTGTGGGCCCCTAGAAAAACGGGGCAATCTTCTTACAGGCTAGGATTCAATATTATTCATATTTAATATTCAATTACTAGGAGCATAAAGGGTTGCATTTATTTATCGGCTGCTATATTCTGGCTGGCAAATTATTTAAAATATTTAATGCAGTGGTAACAAAAAAAGGAAACTACTAACAATTATTTTTAGATCGGCTTTGTTTTTGCTTCTTCCGTTTTGTATAATTATATATAATTATTGTTTACAAATAGCATAATTAATATTTACGTGTATATTTGATGTTGTTTTCTTATTATTTGTTTTTTGTTTTTTCAGTTTTGTTTAAATTATAAAATTACCTAATCAAGAAAACCATAAAAGTAGTTGTTACTGCTGCTGCTGCTTTTTTTTTTTTTGTTTACGTTTACGTTAACGTTAGCGTTAATGTTAATTGTAATTTGTCGTTAGTGGCGGCCTCTTAGGCCTTCCAGTTGTTCTGGCGACTGCCGCTGGCTCCGCTCTGCTGCTGGGGCGGAATCATCTCCAGTAGATATTGGCGCTGCAGCTCCGCCGCCCGCTGAACGTCCGCCATGCTGCTGGCGCTGCTCGAGTTCTTCGCCGATCCGGAGGATGAACTGCTCTTCTTGTTGTTGTTGTTGAAAGCTATGGATAAATATTCATGATAATTTCAAATTAGTAATGATTTATAAATATTTAATGATTTGAAAATATTTTAAAGCTCCATAAACTAACTGACTGGATTCACTAAAATTTAATTTTAATTCTGATATTTAAAATGTATCACTATACTACACTTTAATAAATTGTTAAGATTATTTAGACTGATATAACATTAAATTAGATATAGTTATTAACAGCAAATTCTTCAGCTCTACTTATGTAGTCTTTATAATCAAGAAAAAGTAAACAAAGCATTAAATATGGATCTAAGACTTTCTTTCCTGTTATAAGTTGTGTATAGTCCAACACAAGCTAATTTATTGTTAAATTATTACTTAAAAAAACTACAGTTTAAAATAAAAAAGGTTTTATAAAATATTAAGACAGTTTTCCAGACTAAAAGTCGGTTTAACTTATTATAAAGATGACAAACCGTGTCTAAATATATGATCAAGTTAACTTAAGCTAATACTTTAAATTTAAAATTATATCAGATAAAAGTATATTTCATTTACAACTTTTATATTTATGTCTGTCAGTGATGACGTGTTAATAGCTTACCTGCCACTTGTGCTGCCTGCGCCATGGCCATCTGGTAAGAGTACAGAAGCGGAGCAAACTGCATCATGTGCTGCGGATTGCCACCAAGACCTTGTCCCAGAGCTAAAAGTAAAAGTAATAAAAATTAGTTAAATTTATAATACAAGTGGAGTTCCAAAATGCAAACAAAAGCCCACCTCTAAAGAGCTGCTGTTGGAAAGCCTGCATGGCGGCCGCCGTGGCAGCTGGCGAGGAATTTCCAAGTGCCGCCGCTGGATTATTTGAGCCCGTCGAGGCTCCGCCAAAGTTGCCCAAGCCACCGAGGGCGGCCAGGTTGCCCAGCTGGCTGAGATTGCCTAGACTGGCCAAACTATTGATGTTCAATCCACCCATGCCGCCAAGGGCACTCAGATGGGCAGCCGCCGCCAGCGTGGCCGCCGAGTATTTGTCGTAGCTCTGGGCCTGCTGCTGCTGCTGCTGCTGCTGTTGCGTCTGCTGATCCCGCTGCTGATCGCGGTCGCGCTGATCCCGCTGCTGTTGCTGCTGCGACTGGTGATGGTGATCGAGCCGATCGTTGCGGGAGGATCTGGAGGAGGTGGCCGCCTCGTGGTGATGCGCTGCCGTCGGTCCGGGACTAAGAATGCCCGCCTGCTGAGCGGCAATGGCGGCCGCTGCAGCCGTGGCAGCTGCTCGCGAGGATCGCGACGCCCCCGACGACGACGACGACGACGGCGGCGGTGGTGTGGCTTGACTTTGGGGTGGCGGCGGCGTTGGACGCGGTGTCGCTGGCGTTGGCGTGTGGCATTTGGTGGGTATCACCGTCACCGACGGCGGCAGATTGACCAGGGCAGCCGCCGCCGAAGCGTGCGTCGCCTGCAACTGTTCCCGTTCCCTTTGCAGGTGCGACGATGTGGAGTTGCTGTTCACCGCGGAGACGGACAGCGAGTTACCGCCACCACTCGACCCATGGTTGTCCACTGGCGAGGGACTGCTCTGGCTGGCCAATCGCTGCTCTATCTCCTGCTCCTGCTGCAGCGCCTTCACGAACGCCTGTTTCAGTCGGTTGGTGTGCTCCGCCTTGAGAGCCTTCTTCACATTCGAGGTTACGCACTGCTCGCAAATCACCTTGGGATCTTTGTTGGCTGTAAATAGAGAGAAAGTCATTATATTAGCTGTTTAAATTTACTTTTTATATATTACATAAAGAAAGTCCTTAAAGTTCTGCAGAAAATAAAGGTTTTTTTGTATTTTAAATTTGCTATTAAAAGAGATTTTTTTTTGAGCACCGAATGATAACATTTTTAATTTGATTAGGGACACACAAAAGGAAAAGAGATGATTACATTTTTTTTATGGACCATTACCGTGATTGTTTTTTTAAATTAGCTCTAAATTAGCTATTTTTATTGTTATTATTATAATTATTTCTTTAATGTGCATCCCAGCACTACACTCTTAATTTAATGTGCAAGTCATTTAAACTTTTGCTTTAAAGTTTAAGGAGCTTATTTAACTCTAATTTATTTCATCCTACATTTTTTTTATCGAAAACGATTCATTTAATTAAATTTTTTGTAATATTTAACTATGAATCTACACATTCAGCTTACATTATTATTTATTTAAGATTTCTTTTTAATACAAGTTAATAAAATATTTTTTTGAGTCATTCTACTAGTCGAAAACTATTTTATGAATTAAGGATATACTTACTCTGCTTCTCCCACTTCCACACAGGTGTAAAATCAATCTTGCACTGGGCACAACGGAAAGGAGCTGCCACAGCATTGGCCTTCTTGTTGACCGTCAAATAGTCCACAACAGTTTCCAAGCCAAGAAGATAGACAAAGTCCGTGTTGCTGGGATTGGGTATAAAGTGCATCTCTGGCGGTGGTGGCTTTGGTGGGGGAATCTATCAAAGATAAACGAGTATAAAACCAAAATTTCTATATTTTCTTAAGCGATTTCAGCACTCACCTGAAGCAACGTTTTTTCCAGCTGCTTGCGAAGGGCCATTTTAGCTGCCGCCTGTCTTTGAGCAGGTGTCTGGGCATCTTCCCTTGGCGTGGAACGATCATTCTGCCATTTAAGAATTGTATTAATCATCTAGAAATCATCTAGAAAATTGACATAAAGCATTCACCTTTTGCTCATTGTGCTGATTCTGATGCGATTGGGACAGTGGGAGCGCCGGTGTGATGGAAACAGAATTGCTTATGGTCCCAGGTACCTTCGAATTATCCGAAATATTAGGCTGCATGTTTCAACGATTTGTTTTTGGTTTTGTTTTTGTTTTTTTACAGGATAGCAAATATGAATATACAGAGCAAAGTTGCGTTTTTAGTAGTTGGGGAATTAGTTAATGTTAAATGAATACGAGAAATTAAAGAAAATTTAGTGCCACTTGCACGAAGCCTCCTCGATTTTTGGAAAATCCTCATACAGAGGCCGACTTCGGCTGGTTTGACAGGTGAGTAGTGTTAGTAAGCAATGTTGGAAAAGTTTTGTGAACTTGTTTATGTTGTTTAGTGTTAGGCAACAAGAACTTTCAATAGAGAAGCTTCAAACAAATTTCAAATTTATACATTTGTTGGTAAATATAGAAAATTGAAAATAAATTGAATTTATATAAAAATGTAAAGAGAACAGTTGGTTACTGTTAGGCAAAATGTAATTAAAGGTTGCTTTTATGTTTATTTGTTTATTGTTTATTTGTTTACCTTTCGATCTCTAAAAAGTGTTAGTTTAGGTATCTTTTTTTAATTGTTTTTGATTTGGTTGCTTTTTTAAAGCATAATTAACATTTTCGTTTGTATTCAATATATTATTATGGAATGATTTTTAACTTTAATTTATGAAAATTAATTTTATAAGGCTATAAAAATTAGCAAATGCTTTTTAAGTAATTAAGTAGTTGAAGGCTAAAAGTTCTTGCTGCTCTAATGTGCTAAGTTTGTTAGTTTTGTATGTGTTTTGTGTTGGTAAGCGTGAGTTTTTGTTTATTAACGGTGTTTTGAATATGTTTGTTCTCATAGAATGTTTGTCTATTTATGTGTTTTTGGTGAATTGCAGTGTCTTTGGTGCTTTTGGACAAAAGGTGAGAGAAAAACTCGGCGCTTACGGCAACGATTACATTACAATAACTCACATTGCGTGGTTTCAGACTGGAGGGCGGCGCCGATGTGGGCGTGATGGTCACCGAGGGCGTGATGGTGAGATTCGGCAGGTTGGTGCGCGGCGGCAGATTGCTCGAGCGGTGCGATGAGGAGGTGGCGGGCGTGATGGTGGTACCGGCGGCTAATGTAGCGCCCGCTGGCAGCGATGACCTTGGCGGCGGCAGAATGGAGTTGCTACTGCTGCTGCTGCTGCTGCCGCGATGTTGACCGCTCAAGGCGGCCGCTGCAGCGGCAATTGCAGAAGCGGCCGCCGCCGCTGAGCTTGAGCTTCCCGTTCGACTGTTGGTGGCGCTGCAGATGTGAAAAAGTATATTGTTAGTCACTAGATTTAACATAAAATAAATAGAAATTCTCACCTAATGCTCACTGCCGGTCCGCCGCTGCCGCTTAAGCTGCTCCTGCTGCCTTTACTGTGGGCGGGCAGCGGTACCGCCGACGTCGGCGTCACACTTAGCGATCCCTTCGAGGTGAGGGCGGCGGGAATTGCGGCCAGCGGATTGTTGGGCGAAACGCTGGTCGGTGTCACCACCATATTCTCCTTCATCACCTGCTGCGACTGCTTCAGTTTTTTGAGCAGCATCAGTTTGGTCTCCTCGTTACGCAGATCCTGTCGCAACTTCCTCAGACTCTTCTCGCGCTCCTTGAGCTCCGCATGACTCAGCTCCTTGATGGGCACATAGGGCGGCATCTCCTCGTCATCCGTCTCCGAGTCTATATTCCCATTCTGCTGACGTCCATTGGTGCGAGCGGGTAATAACACAATATCCGGTGCTTCGGCATACGATTTGGGTTCGGTTCGGGGTCGCAGGACTCGCCTTTGAACCTTATTCTCATCCTGACCGCCTCCCAAGGATCCACCACCTGTCGCACCTGTCGCCCCTTCACTGCCACTGATGCTGTTGTTGTTGTTGCTGTTGCTGTTTGTGCTGGAGCTATTCGTGGGGTTACTGCTATTGTTGGTGCTGCTGCTGTTGGAGTTAATGTTACTGATATTGGTGGTGGCGGTGGTGGTGGTGCCGTTGTTTGTCGCCGGCGCCGAAGATGGAGTGATAGTCAGACCCGTATTGTTGGCCGTCAGCGCTCGCAGATCCCGATTACTGAGCGCCGCCGGAGACGGAGCCGGCGTTATGGTCAACGCCGGATCACGGCCGGATCCTAAACTCAAGTCGACCACGTCGTCGACCTCCATTTTGGCCATTTTCGCTCGTCGCGTCGTCGTGATTCTGTATCTTGGTCAACTGCAAAGGGTAAGGAAAAGAAAACTGGTTAGTTGTAGTGGCCTTATATTTTGTTCTATATATGAATCACTTAATTTAAAGATTTTGTTCCCTTTTTTTAGTTCTTATTTCCCAAAACGTTTGCTTTAAAATAATGTGTCAATAAACAAGATTATATTTTTGCGAAATTGTAATCCTATGTGACCAGAGTGAGGTTTCCAGCATTCAATACTTAGTACTGCTACTCAACCTTATAACATTATTTACAAACAACATTTGAAGTCAAAAATGTACCACAGTTTTTATTAAATTAATTTTTATTTCAGAAAACCAGAGTTTCTTCCATGCTTACAAAAAATTTTCATATTTTTTTGATATAAAAAGCGGAGCTGTGTCTGGTTAGGGGTTAAGAAGGCGTGGCCAGGAAAGGGGATTTTGTGGCGTTCTTGTTTTACCAAGGGTTGTATTTGGGTCTACAGTTTTTTATTTTGTTTCCCTTTTGCCAGCATGGCACTTTGAAAGCGGAAGTGCCACTGTCTAACCCCTAAATGTGTCTGTATCTGTATCACCTTTTTTCCCATTTCCGTGTTAAGAAATAATAAAGATATCCTGATTTCAATTTATTAAGGCGACGACCTTGTTGGGAATCCAATATATTATGTCTCCGCAAGGAAAAAGAAGGCAAGATTGGAAAAGAGAGGGGAGAAAGCTGCACTAAATCACAAATCAAATCTGATTTGATCGCAGATATGCAAGTGTAAGTGGATTTGTGGCGCTTGTGTGAGTGAGAGAGCGGCAAGCGAACAATTTCTTTCGATTCGGACATCTTCCACAAACAAGTCACGTTTTCGATTTAACAAATTTTCGCATACAAAGCCGCTGGTTTTGCGGCTACAAGAAAATTTACATGAAAACCGAGCTAGTTGGTGGGGTGAGAAATTTGCAAGACAGTCGTAACTCGCTAGCAAGAACTAGCTATTCAATTTAACAAATTAAGAAACAAAGACTCTACACCCAAAATCCAAATACCCTACAGAATTTTCAAAATTTAAATTTAAATATTTAAGTAAATGCATATATTTAATTAATGCATCATTTTTAAGATTGCATAAGAATAAAATATGTCCAAAAGCCAACAATCTCAAGGTCATTTAGAAATTTATAAATTTAATTATGGGACATTATTTTAGGCGTACTCCACTGTACATGGTAGTAAGAATAACTAGCAGAGATTCAAACCAGCAAACACAGTCGCATACAATCACAGCCCAACAACAACAGCGACCAGACACGTGAGAGCGAGAGGTGAATAAACCTTTCAAGCAACTTGAGCTGCACTATAACAACACAAACAACAAAGCCCAGCAGCAGCAAATACGGCAAACATTCACCTGCTGCTGATTTTGAAAAGCACACACAAACGATATAAAAAAGTCAATAAAAATCATTTTAACAAGACACAAACGATAAACCAGCAATAAGCGTCACAATTAAAATGATATATAAACGTAGGATCGTAAAATAAATACGTTAAAGCAGGTGGCAACCCTGGCAAAGTGGAGCTTGCAGAGAAGTATCCACTTTTGCAGATTCCGGCCGAAGAAAAGCGAATCAAATGGCATAATTACACAAAGCTGGGCCATATAAAAGAGAAGAAAAGACTATACAAAAATAAAACAACTTGGCATTGTTGTCCCCAACGTGCTATAAATTAACTCGCTTTGAAAGTTAGCACACAAACAAACACACACACCATGTAAGTTGAGTGTATAAGCACGCTTACTCGTTCGTTTTTTATTATTTTTTTCTTCCCCGACCAGCCGTTCCCCTTTCCCCCTCCCCCCCTCAAAACGGCTGTCGGCGGAGTCTCGTTACTTTCGACACTTGTGTCGTCATCAGATTGTGCTGCCCGCTATCAGTGCACAGTGGGTCGCATTCGCGGGGTGTACCAGATAATAGGTGGCAAAGCGTGCTGTGCGATAGTGGGCGATGATAACACCGAGTGGAGCTGCTACAGTGGTCAACACGTACTGGGAACCTTGAGGAATTTATATTTCAAGGAGACAATACACTACACATCTTTCCGTTCGATTTCATATTTTAGATATTGGTTACATTTTACTTATTACTTAACAATTAATGTTATTTTGGTTCCAGTTTAATATGCATAAAACTTTTTAAAAAATTGTTTTTGCCTAGTTAAGTTGCGGGAAAGTTAACTTTCTTAAAATTTGTATACTGTTTGTGTGAAAAATAGAACGCAAAGGGAAAACAATATTTATAAAAGATATATATATATGTATATGTATGCTGCGTTCACTCAAAACATTTTTTATTTTTTGGTACCGAAATTGTTTTTAAACGACATTTTTGTCTTCTGGCATCATTCAAGCCATATTCTTGGCAGAAAAAGTGTACATTATTAAAAATTAAAAAAAAAATTGTACTGTCGAAAATTGTTTTACGATTTTTGCTAATAACCTGTCCCAGTGTGCGTTGAATTTGTTGGCTTGTGTGCCGAGTTAATTCCACAGCGTGAGATTGTGTGTGTTTGCTTGTTAAAGTGTGTAAGTTTGTGTGCTTTGATGATTGTCAACTTTTTCTTATTAAATTAATGCAAACATTTTTAAATTTTTATAGATGCTTTTTAATGCTCGAGACCATTATGCGTGATGATAGCTTCTTCACCCCCTCCTCCTAACATCATCCGCCCCCTTACCCTTTAACCCCTTGGCCGCCTCCGAGAAAAAAACCGTGTTTATCGATTTGTTGCGACGTTTGGCATTTGTGTGACTATAATTGTGCTTAATAGCGCGCTAAATGTGCTTCAATTAGCGTTTGCGAGTTGCCCAGCTTAAGTTCACAATGGGTTGTGTGGGGATAACAAATACCTGATGATCTTAGGGGTCAGTCGGGAACAAGTGTGCCTTACAATCAAGTTCAAGTTTAAGGGTCGTTGGCACCTGAAGAGGTAAAATACAGATGCCAAAGACACATTCACATTGAAGTAAATGCAAATTGGATGGGGATTTTACAAGGATTGCTCAAAGATATCAATATCAAATTAACCGATGGCGATATTAGGAAGTTGTTAAAGTGACCGATGGAGATAAAAAACGAAAGGGGAAGGGGTAGGCAAACTTTGAGGCGAATGACTAGCAGCGACGACGCAAAAAAGCAAAAGAAATAAGGTTAAATCAGAAGTACAGTTGTGTACATAGCGCGACCAGCAGCAGCACCAACAAAAGCAACAACAACACAAACAAAAGCAAAGAGCAACAGCAAAGCAAGCGAAATGTGTTTGGATGTGGCTGCGGTGAGAGCGACAGAGAGAGAGTGAGCGCGGTGCGGTGCGGTGAGAACGAGAGGAGGAAGCGGGAGAGCGAGAGTAAGATGGAAGAAGAGAGCGCACGTCGCACACACGCGAGACGACATCGAAATGAGAGAAAGAGAGAGGTGAGCGGTCGGCGGTTTTGGGGTCTGGCCACCCAAAAGCACCACCCCCCAAATCCCCACCCACTCGCTACACCCCCAACTCCCATCTCCCAACCCATCGATTTGCATATTAGTTGCTTATCCACCCATGGGATAAAAACTCATTATAATTGAACTTTCTTTTATGTTTTGAGGTTAAACTCCATAATTCTATATCAAACCTTTCAGATTTGTTACTTATTGATAACGACAATGTTTCATATTAACTTCCTTTCACATTTAAAGTTGAGCTTAATAGAACACCAAACACCTCCAACAACACAGATACAGGTATTACGAAGAAAACATTCCTTACACTCAAAATTCTACTCAAAGCCCCCGCGTAAAAAATCTTTTCTGTAATCCTTTCCAAATTAAAACACACTTTTAAAATCTAAAACCAAAGTCATTCAAAGCAACTACAAATATTTGATTTGATAAACTACAATTATATGATTTGATTTACTACAATTATTTGATTTGGTGCCTTAATTTGTGAAAAAGTATTATTAATGGAGCCCCAAGGTCTTTGTCAATCACTCTTGCAATCTATAGAAACAGTTTAAATTTCCCCGGGTTTTATAGGTGCACCCTAAAGTATTTCAACACACGAATATTAAATAAAAGCCTTTAAAAATGAAAAGACAAGACGCAGCTTAGCAAACAAACATATTTATTTTGCCACGTTTCGGTTCGACATTATAAGAAATGCGCATATCTTATATCTTATGGCCATTGTACATAGGCGTCTAGGAGAGGGGTGTACGGATGGACGGGGGCTTAGTAGAGTGGAGTGAGGGTCTCTGCTTGGCTGCTGAGAGGAAAAGCGAGAGAGCAGGCGAAAGAGCACGACTTGTTGTACATGGGTGGGGTGGGGGAAGTGGGCGGGGGGAGGGAGGGAGCGACCGACCTTCGTACATATTTACTCATCCATGCTGGGATTTGGAATCGGAATGGGGAGGGTGGTGCAACGGGTGCTCAAAACACAATCCCAAACAATTCCAATTCCAATCCAAAATCCCTACCCAAACGTAGGCCAATTCCACAAATGCAGTCAAGTGATGTGATGTCATCGAAAACTATGGAGAACTATCGAATTGCATTCAAAGAGTTTTACTTGCAATTGCACCAAGACTCGAAATATGTGCTATTTTTATTCCACTTATAGACCTGACAAAACTTCAATAGCTAACAATTTGTAATTTGTTAATTTAGAGGTCTATATCGTTGATTGAATTTTCAGTCCTGCTACTCTACTATATTTATTTATTAAATCAATATTTATACACTTCCTGTAAAACAGTTTATAGCTCTGTTCCACTGACACATATTTTTAGATACAACCAGATGTTCAGAAGTTTACCTAAAAATGTTCACATACAAAAGATCAGTAGAAAAACAAGAAAGATAATGATACAAGATTAAAAGTAAAATGTATCAAAGTTATTTAATAAATATATAAAAGATGTTCATATCATTTACTATTTCTTATACTAATCGCAAAATAGTTTAGTCTAGAATATTTGTGTATTTGTGTATTTCCCATT